TTTTCACGGTGGATAAACGAGTCTAGTTTATGTTCTCGCAGAGAAAGGTATAAGTTAAAATATAAAGGTTTCCAAGAAAAGTACAGTGATCGGGGCTTGTAATCACAGGACATGTTACGCCAAATCATCGAAATGAATATTAGTTCCATTGGAAGTTTGACCTTGCATAACGTGTCAAATTAAGATAACAATTGATTTATTTCGCGTATAACTATATTCGTAACTGTTGTTTTATAATTTTAAAACCTTTTTTTATTAGACCTATATGACTCTAATGTCACAGACAATATTAAGACATGACTGTTTGTATGGGATTCTTCTTTTCTTATACCTAAGTTATTAACTTGACTCTGAATTATATAAATGGCTAATTAGCAAAAGTGCGTAAGTCAGGTGTACCGTATTACAATACACGTGTAGATATTTTACGTTTTAGGTTATTTGTCAGGTACTCGTCTAGTTTGTCACTTCTATTTCAGATGCTAACCTCAATATGACGCCGGATAGTATCAATATCAAGACTGATACTTTCAAAACTGAGTTGCCAAAGGAATGTCATTTCTTGCTTTTACGTAAGCATCATAAACTCCAAACATTTTAAATTATTACTTTTTCCCTGTAAGTTTTACATGACATTTGACACTTTATTTGTCAAATAATTAGAACAATTAAAACAACTAAAAACGTTGTTTTGCAAATATTTTAACAAGGAACGTTATTTTGAGAACAAAGCAAATTTTTGTTTTTGCATGAAATGACTGATCTTACTTCCGACATAGTTATTATATGATAGAGGTAAGTGAAGAAATTTATAATGTGAATTCTACGTACGTCAATAATCTTTTGTCAGACCGACTTTCAATGCATTGTGCTATATCTTAGTTAAGTGATTAGTATGAAAAGGGACGTGAAAATAATATTAATAGTTATACTTATTTAATAGAAATGTTTTATTGATTTATAAAAGACTGTCATATAGAATACTTAATATAACTTTGAAAGACCATGGTAGGGCCAAATGGAATTTTACAGAGATAAAAGTTCATAACATTATTATAGAATTAAGGAAAAACACTCGCTTAGATATTATTTTTAATGATCAAAATATGATCTAGTAGAATTTCAAAAGAGACACAAGTTTCAAAAATGTATAGAATAAAGTTACAACAAATGCTTAGATACTTAAAAAGTATAGATAACCTTATCGAACTCTGCATGGTCTTTTTAAGATCGGTTATTGAAATTTGTAATTACTAATATATTTACGAATAATAATTTATCCTAATAAGAGAAACCGAGTCCGCCAACTTAGTTTGAGAGGGAGAGTATCGGGTTAGTAATCCAGCAACTTTTTATATATAAATATGAGAGTAAAGATTACCAAGGGAGAGAAACGTGCAGGGAACGCATCCAAACAACATCCTGCTACTAAGTACTCGTATATGTTAATGTTTATTACGTGAAATTTTAAAAATTGAGAACCCCAAAGGAAGCGACCGTAGGGAGCGACAGTGGTTTTTTAATTATTAAAATGTTCACATTATAAACACTAACTCACTTGTGATCAATCTCATTTGACCCCGCTTGAACGCCTCAAGCTGATAGAAAGTTGTTTACAATACGATGGTTGAAGTTGAGTTTAGGGAGCATATTTCATCTATCAGTTATGTCAGTCAATATATAAATATCAATGGTAAATCTGGTGATAGAGTGCCCATTATTTACATCGTGTACCGCTGAATTCTTCAATTTTGCAACTTTCTAAAAAATATTGAATGTGATAACAGCCTTAGCCCTGCAATGTATAATTTGTCGCTGAGGGTTGAGGACAGTTTCATCTGAACTATACCAAAGTAACCCCTTAATGATGTAAAAAGAGGATTGAAACTCTACCCTTCCTGTGCCTGTGTGAAGAAGTATGGTCATATTGCTTTGCAAGCTGGTTCGAGGGATAACTTTTTTCCAGATTTTTATATATGTTATACAGGTAAGAGGAGTCGAAATGATAAATACATTACAATAAATTTATTAATTAGAATTTACTTCATGAACTTTCTACATGCATATTTATCTGTCTGTGATGAAAGCGATTATGGTTGATATACTGAAATTATTTACACAACATTTAAAAGAAATTAAGTGAAAAATGATTCTCATTTCCTGATTAATTAGATGTAGACTTTCTAACTAGGAATTGCATTGTTCAACCGCTAGTACAGACTTAACGTTCTCATTCTCTTCTAGTCAAATTTTGTTTATAACCAAATCACTGTAAATTCTATACGGAAGATGTCATGCTTAAACTTACTCATTCTACCATGATCAGTTAAATAATAATTAGACAGATGCATGAAATTGATTCATTTAAATGGTCATATATACATACTCACCAATCGTAAAAAAAATTAAACAGAAAATTGCTAAATTTTGTGTAAGTCTCTTGTCTTTTCAGACTTAAAATGAAATCAAAACTATTTATAGCAGATAAATAACAAGTTATATAATCATTTTACAAATGTTATTCTAAAATGGTGCCAATATTAACCTCATGGTGGTACCAGTACTGAAAGGAAAAAGAATGAACAAATGAGCCGTGTCATGACAAAACCAACATAATGGGTTTGCGACCACCATGGATCCAGACCAGCCTGCGCATCCGCGCAGTCTGATCAGGATCCACGCTGTTCGCTTACAAACCCTATTACAAGGTGAGAAACTAATAGCGAACAGCATGGATCCTGATCAGACTGCGCGGATGCGCAGGCTGGTCTTGAACCATGCTGGTCGCAAACCCATTATGTTGGTTTTGTCGTGACACGGCTCAAACATAAATCTTCGGAGTAAGCATTGATTCTGAAAAATTACACCTGCTCAAAGAATAGTCATATAAAGTTCAACAGCTAAAACGTATTAGGAGAGTCCATATACAAACTTAAACAATAACAAAACCGAACAAGCGTGCATTGGTTAACACAATTTTAAGTAATAAATTTCAGATGAATTTTGGTGCAGCTGAATTTATACCACCATTCCAAACAGCTTCACCATAATCTAAAAATATATTTCATGAACAAAGAAATAAGTTTGTCCTCTAAATAATATAATACATTGTTTAAGGGCCAAGTTCATGAACACGTTTCAATGTACGGCAGAATATTATTTACATATGTGTACGTGCCATCATTCTTCCTAACATAATTGTAGAATCACGATCACATTTACCACTTTATTTATCAAAATAATTTGTTCAGGTATACATCTTTTAAATTACGTTAGCATAATGGAAGTTTGTTTATTTATGCAGTTACGTGTCTCCATCGACTTTAATTTATATTTAATCTTTTCAAACGTCATATTAACAAAGATATTTGCTGACATTTAAAGGGCCTCTTACGTTTCAGCTTTAGTGGTTGAGTTTTGTTCACATTAACATTCTTCGATGTTTTTAAGACAGACGTCGAATTCTAAGCATATCGTGGTCTAAGTCTCAAACAATCTTTTGTTTGGGAGCAATGTAAACAATTCCTGTTAGAAAAAAAAACAGAAAGGCGAAACATGCCCATCCAGTATACGTACATTGTAGTTTGATAAGAACTATTTACGAGTACTAAGAGTGTCTGTTATTGATTACAACGTTTTATATAGTGACAGGAACTCTTGACCGTCTGTTTCAGTTGACATGTACAAAGCGTCCTTATGTGTCACCGCCATATTTAGTGTTATTATTTTTACCGATTCTTTACTTATCTCCATTTATTCAAATTATAAATAATTCAATTGAATTAAGAAATATTTGCTATTGTCTCTTCCGTATTTGGCTATACGGTCCTATGTTTTGAGGCACAGGCATGTTTAAGAACTTAAAACATCTGTTCTGAAACTACAGTTAGCTTATTAAAAAGCCTCAAAATGACATGAAAATGGTTTAGATATATATTTATATTTACAAAAATATGTGAATTGTGCGTAGTTTTAATGTACTCTTTCAGTTAGGCCGACATAAGAATTTAAATGGAGAAAGGCGCGTAATCTTTATGTTAGGTTGTATTGGGGATTCGACAGAACAATGTCCCTTTGGTTGATCGAATATATTTTAATTAAATTTAGTTAGCTATTTGTGTTTGACTTTTTCTCTGTAAAATAAAACGCGAAAAGAAAACATAGTAAAATAGAATTTATGCATTACAAAAAGAAACGTTTTGTTTAAAGATTTATTTTCTTTAAAAGAAATAATGTCGTGTATACATATAACTTTGAATTCCATTGATGTGTACAGTCAGAATCCTACAATCTTGAATGCTAAACTCGTTTTCAGAATGTCTTGATTTAATATATTTGCTTTGTTTTATAAGTTCGGTCAAAATGTGGTCAACAACGAATACCTTATTCATTTGTTTTAATACATTTTATTTAAAAACTGTTGACCTTGATAATTAATCGTGACTCTGAATTTGTTGTTTAGTTTACATTTATATCTATGTATATATCATTAGACTAACAACACGTTGGTATTAAAATGTACGTATGCTTTTTACTCTCTCTTAATTTTTATTTTTAAAAAATGAATGAGAACGAAAACTGCCTTTTATGCATGGATATAATAACAGTCTAGTACAATTGTAGTTTTTCAGTGATATCATCTTATTTTGGGAAAAAATACGGAATATTAATATCATTTTTTAACAAAAGTTTTAAAAATATGTATTTTACGATAGATATTTTTCCTTAACAAAATATAGAAATGTCATTTTTACTTAAAAATGAGATAAATGTTTAGATATGAGTATCTATATTGTATTTCGTTTTGTAAACCTTTAGTCAAGACAAGCAAAACAAATTTACAAGCTGATTGGTTCATAATAACTTGAAACTTAAATTGCAGATTCATTTTTGAAATAAAAGCAAGTATTTTGGAAAGAATTTGTGTAAATGGTTTTAATCTAAGTCATATATTAAAATTCAAAATAAAGTTGTTTCTGCACTATACTTTGCAGAATATGCTTGCATGCACAACTCTCTGACAAAACTTTAATATGACCACCACTCTAAGCCCAGATCAGATTATAGAAGAAATCGGAGGATGTGGACGTTTCCAGATGCGCATGAGTATTGTCGCTCATGTGATGAAAACCGTCGTCAGTTTTAGCGCCGTTTCTATGGTTTTAGTTTCACAGACGCCAGACTGGTGGTGTGAGGACGAGTCTAAATACAGCAACGTTTCGTCTTGTGTTCAATATGAAAATGGTACTCAACAATTTGTGTGCTCTCTAAGATCATGTTCAGTGAATGGATCAACTTGTAACAATTTTCGATTTGGCAAGAAAGGTTCTATCATAGAGGAGGTAATGTTGTCTTAAGATTACTACAAAAAAAACTCGATTCAATGTAAAATGGATATCTAATAAATTGACGCTAAAGAAATATGATCCTTCGAAATATATTTCTGAGTTCATAATGTTATACTGTTTTTCTTGTATGCCAAGTAAGGAAAAGTACTTCACACGAAATGCCTTATATGATCTGTTCGGCCGCAAACATTTGACGGACCAAAGCCGAAGGATTATGTCCAAGAGACTGAGAGGTTCTAATGACGCTTTGAGGTCCGAAGCACTGTGATTTATTTCTTATATTTTGAATATACCGTACTTTTCTACAGCGTAACGGTAAACGTTTCAGGAGAAGATAGATCATGTTTGTTTGTTTGTGTTTCTCGTTGTTGGTTTGATTTGGGGGTTTATTTTGTGTGCCAAAAGTCAGATCGCTGACCTGTATTATATAATTTCGGCCTGGCGACACTTAATATAAATAAACAAGAAACACATTAAGATTAAGGACATACTTTACGTGGATACCATATGACCCTTTTTCATAAAATGGCACTAACGTGTCACATTCAAGGTTCCTTGATTACCGTCATATGAACACATGCAGATGTTTCAAAATTAATTTTACTAGTTAAAGTCTGCTTAAGCCGGAGCAAGGGACATGGACGTAGCTTACAATCAACACTACCGACCGTAAACAGGCTCGATGTAACATTTTCAATTTTGCCGTTTTGTGCTTTTTATGTTTTTTTTCTCTATTCCATTATTTTCTTTTTATCGCAATGACGACTTATTTTTCACATGTATTCCCACATACGATATATCCTCTTAATCCTTATTTTGATATTTAACAAATAATGTATTTAATTATTGTTTGTTTGTGTTTTACGTCACATCGACACATTATAAGTCATATCGCGACGTTCCAGTTGTACTGGTGGAGGAAAACCTCAGAAGCCCTTCCGTGCATTATTTCAGGCACGAACGGGCACCTGAGTAGCTGGATAGCTTCCTCACATGAAAGAATCCAAAGTCCCTGTCGTGATTTGAACCCACAGCGGTGAGGGGCAAGTGGTGTATTTAATGATTACCATATAAAAAATAACAAATGTAATGGTTTAGCAACTAAGTTATTTTATTTGTTATAAAAATTCAACAATGTACGTATGATTATTGTTTCATTGCAGTTTGATCTTGTCTGCAGCAGAGATTACATTCCGAGTTTAATCATGACTCTTCAAATAGCTGGTTCACTCGTAGGAAATGTTGTATCTGGGCAGGCATCTGATTCGTTCGGACGAAAAATCCCGTTTTTCTCGTCCATGGTAGTGCTAATACTTGGAAACTTAATCGGCTATTTCTCAGTCAATTGGATAATGTTTGCAGCAGCGAGATTTGTGATAGGGATTGGTCATGGATGCTTCATGACTATAAAATATAGCTTACTATCTGAGTTTTCATTATCAAGGTGTAGATCATGGATCATTGGATTTCCATCATGGCCTATTCAAGCTTGTATATTTGCGTTGATTTGTTGGTTAATTCAAGACTTTCGGTACATTCATTTGTTCTGCGCCTTGCTTGGTATACCAATGTTGCTCGCGTGGTTGTAAGTTAACTTCTACAAAACATAAGATATGTAATTTGCATATGTATACATTTCTGAAGTATGCATTTCATTGTTTTACTCATGTTTTTGCCTAAATTCAAACTCTATTCGGACATGCATTTATTTAACAATACTAAACGCCTCATTTGCTGTCATTTTATTCTAATCCTATCACAATAAATGATATACTCTATATTTTTCTACTCATTCACAGATATTGTTGTCGTACATTGTATTAATTGTTTTATCCTTCATAAAAACTTTCAGTGTTATTCCGGAAAGTTTCCGTTGGTATGTAGCACACGATCGCCCTGACAAGGCTGAGGCAATCATTCGGAGAGTTGCGGCTTACAACAAACGCCAGTTATATCATGTTGATCATCTAGTGCAACAAACGCCAATCACTCAAGATACACATAAATATTCCGTGATCGACATGTTTAGATCTAAACGACTTATAAAAACCACTTTACTCTGCGGTTTAAATTGGTAGGTTATGATTTCATCAATCATAGAAATATTATTTATATATGAGCCGCGTCACGACAAAACCAACATAATGGGTTTGCGACCAGCATGGATCCAGACCCGCCTGCGCATCCGCGTAGTCTGATCACGATCCATGCTGTTCGCTCTCAGTTTCTCTACTTGTAATAAGGTTGGTAAGCCAACAGCATGGATCCTGATATCAGACTGCGCGGACGCGCAGGCTGGTCTGGATCCATGCTGGTCGCAAACGCAATATGTTGGTTTTGTCATGACACGGCTTATATGCTTTGCTGGGTTTCAAATTTATGATGGTAAAACTGATATTCAGTAATAATGTTGTTGTCTTCGTAAATATCTTATTTATTAGCCTAATATTAGCTCAAATAACTATTTACTAGTAGTAAATATACATGTGGCAGCATGGCCGAGTGGTTAACGCGTCAGACTAGTAATTTAATGATCGCTAGCCGCATTGGTTCAAACCTCGTCAGTGGCAAGTCGTTGTTTCCTTGAGTACTGTTCAGTACTGGTTGGTTCCAGGAACGGATGCGAAAGTGTATCTATAAGCTTACAGCTTTCTACACAATTGAACTAAAAAAATATGTATAAACCCAATATACATGTTACGAATTAAAGTTATCTCAGAAAGTAATTGTTAATAACATAATTTGTTTCACAAACAGGCTTGCCTTAGGTCTTGTGTCGTATGGGCTGCTCTTTGAAATCCAGGCTCTCTCCGGGAACGTGTATCTCAACTATCTCTTGTTTTCAGTCGTCGGTATTCCATCAAAGGGTGTAGGTGTATGGCTACAAAACAGGTAAATATCTCCAGTCGTTAGCTATTTTTCAAAACTGATTTTAGTTACATCAAATTTATAAATATCTTAACGTAATTAAAATCTTTCGTCAAATACGATTTTCTTTTCAATTTGGTTCATCCATATTTGAGATGTATTTTATCATACAAATGCTTTTACTGATTTTAATATATTTTCTAAACATAGCATTCATTAAACACTGCGTTTTGAGGCGAATTTTGACATCATTTTCTATAGGCTTGGTCGACGTAACCTTACAATGCTCAGCTATGCGCTAGTCGGTGCTTGTGGTATAGTCGTTGGAGTTGTCCAAACCCTTGGTAAAATATCATTCCAATTATTTTTTATTTGTAACTTCTGTCTTATAGTTTCGTATTAATGTTTTTTCATGTATTGGGATATTCAAATTTATAAATTTCATTTTTTTTTTCATTTATTAAGAAATTGAAAACAGAAGCAACTCTTAGAACATTTATTCATTACTGGATATTATAACATTTTTACACATAATATAAAATCTTTGTTCCCGTGTTTTTATTGCTTTGTTTGAAGTATATCTCTTGTTACATATAATATTCTCTTTAATGTTAACGCTTTGGAGCTTATTTGGTACAATGTAATTTATCTTTACTCTTGTATTTTCATACAATTTTGACATTCACATTCAGATTTATCGAATCGTGATCTACTGACGAATGTGTTTGCGCTCACAGCTTACGCTATAATCGCGCTTGCCTGGGGACCTATACAAACAATGACTGTTGAACTATATCCGACTGTCATCAGGTAAAGTATTGTCAAACATAACTTGCTGTTTTAATGTGATGCTGCTAATTAACTTAAGCCATCACTATGAACAATTATTACAATAAACAGTTAAACTTGGTTCTCTCGAACTCGGATCGCTCGAAATCCTCCCTTTGCTCGAACTAATCGCCCAGTCCCGGCAAAGTTCTATTGTTCTATATCGGATCGCTCTAACACCGATCGCTCGAACTTTCGAACCTGATCATCTCTCTGATCCCTACGTCAGAAATATAGTAAAAATCACACCTTCTCGGTCGAACACATAAATGTGTGTGTGTGTGTGTGTGCGTGCGTGCGTGCGTGCGTGCGTGCGTGTGGGTGGGTGTGCGTGTGGGTGGGTGTGCGTGTGTGTGTGTGTGTGTGTGTGTGTGTGTGTGTGGTTTGTTTACCCTCACCACCGGAATGAACGATATGGGCGAGCATATACTTCATTTAAAACATACTGTAATTATATGGGAACTAATTAATTAAACTATAGTTTTATCGCTACATGTGTTTACGTGTGTGCCATAATTCCTATCATAAGTTCGTATAGGAGTACGTAACCCGTGATAGGAATAAGATGGGATTGCTCCCATACTTAGTTAAAATTACGTGTATTTATAGAGTGAACAGCATATTTAATTTACTTAAAGTTAAAAGGGCCGAGACGTTTTTAAAAAGTACCGTCTCTTATAACAGGTCAACTATTATAATATCCTAACTTTAAAAGAAAGAAAACCTTTTTAAAGCAGTGTCAGGAACGTAATTCCCGAGTTCGATGTGGTAATTTCTTAATGGTGCTAATTTGATCAGATACGCACACAATGGAGTGCCAAAAAATCATTAAAACAAGTTTGTTTTAGCATGAAAATGATAGAATTTGTTCGTTTGTTTATATATTTTAGCCGAACACCTGCTTAGTTAAGACTGTTCTCAATGGTCTAAAAGTGAATGCCTCCTTTGTTGTGATTGGCCAAAAATTCTCTGTTTATAAAATAAGGAGGTCAATCCGATTTTGTAAAATTTTGCAAATTATCTTATTGTATAAGTGTTTTTAATCAATTATATATTTATAATCTGGCGTAGTGATATAGAAGAGTACAGTCTTTTAAATTTTTCTTCATCTTCCACAAAACCTTTGCTTATCTCACACTTACCATGACTCATGTTTTTCCGCAAGTAAAGTAGGTAAGGTAAAGTAAGCAAAGACATTTTGATAATGATATCGTACGATCACTGGCACTTAATCTTGTTGATAATTATCATTAAAATACCATACGTCATCGATAATAATAAAAACTAAAACATTTAGAATTATTTTCAGGAAAGCGTTTTCCTCAAAGATGTTTTGAAGAAGTAAATTAGTAAAGTGTATTTCAATTAAATATTTCAGGACGGTAAGCTTTGGAATGCTTAGTGTTATTGGAAGAGTTGGTGCTATGGTTGGACCCCAACTTGTCTATCTCGTAAGTGAAAATTTACTTTGTACATATATTATTTGAATGGTTCTGCATAGTCTTAGTGTTATTCTAAAGTTCACTTGTAACTTGTCATCTTGAAACATTCTGTTAAATGATTGTTTTATATTTCAGAATTATTATGTTTCGGGTTTGCTTTATTATGTCTGTGCGGCTGTGTCGTTTGTTTGTGTACTTGGATGTTTTGGCCTTGAAGAAACGAAGGATTCAAATTTAAGTGACAAAATGGAGAAGAAAAATGTACCAGTATAAACCGAAGTGAAAACGTTACAGTTTGATAATGATAATTGACGAAATGGAAATGCTATGTTTCAGGAAAAGGAATGAATTAAAAATTATTCTTTTAACTATTTCTGGTTCTATCTTAGGTTATTTGTATCTTGTGTGCATACATGCACAAACGTATAACAAATTATTAAAAATCTATTTGCTTGTTATCTTCATGAAAGTGCAGAGAGATTAGATATATATATAGCATACATGTACGATACTTGGAAAGTTACCGAAAAATTAAAGTGAATTGATCTATGATGGAATGTCTGTAATACCATTTATAATTATGCTCTTCAGTTTTAGTATCATAAATGAAAAAATTACACGAAAGAATTATAAATGGATGTTGTTGATAAGTGATAGATACATGATTCCATATGACATATCAATATATAGCAGATAGTTTTATCAATATTTTGATAACGTATGAAAAATGTGCCCATTGTAGACCACTCCACTTTAAAACACTTTTGCTATACTTGTTGCTTCCTTCACAAGATGTTTTACTTCATAAAATCATTAAATAATAAAAAAAAACATTATTCCATTGTGTTTAGTTATGATCCAGGGATACTCGATAATGTACATAAAGTTAGCTCCCTATTCCTTATTCTTTATTCCTTTTTCGAATAAGGAATAAGGAATCAGTTCCGTTTTCCTTTTTCGAATAAAGAATAGGGAACTATTTCCTGATTCCTTATTCAAATCTAAATAAGGAACGGCAGAATATATATTTATTTAAAATAAAATTACCAGAAAACTAGAACGGTTCTTTCTTTCAAATTGCACAAATCAATCATCACAATCATAGAATAAAGTAACCGCATCGGCCTATTTTTTTAACAATATTCAAATCGAAAAAGGAATAAGGAACTGATTCCTTTTTTCTTATTCGAAAAAGGAATAAGGAATAGGAAACTAACTTTATGTACATTACTTGATAATGCCTTTTATGCAGGTTGACAACAACGTACTGTCACTACTAACAAGTTTCACAAATTTTCAGCTTTGAATGAAAATCAATAGCATCATTCCTTTGATAAACGATATACATGATGCATTATAAATGTTATGAAGATTTAATAGATTGTTATGAAAACCTTTTCTACTACGTTATGGCAAAAATTCATATCAATTTCTGTTGTATCATGTATCACTTAGCATCATTTTAGGCTATTAAAATTTGTAAAATACTTAATTGATTGATTGATTGATTGATTGATGTATTGAGATAGATTAAAATAAGTAAATTGATTGATTAATGGTCGGTTTTTTTTTCTTTCCAGTTATTTGCAAAAATATACAATTGTCTGTCCCTGATATAAATACATAGATAGTTCAATGGTAAACGAAATACTTATGACTGTAAAACGCCTGATTTCTATTTCAACGTTTGATAAAATATTTAAAAGTACATTGATAACAAGAGGATATCACCTTTTCAAGCTATATTGTAAATAATTTAACTTCCATGAAATTGACATCATTTTATATTTCCTGATTCATTTGTTTATCTATTCAATAGTCACTATAAAATGATTCTGTTTTCACACTATCTATTTAGGTAGGATCTGCGTGTTCAACAGTAAATTATACGAGATTAATAGAGTATGCGTTTTAAAATCACATATTTTAGACCTAGGAACTATGTATGGGCAACAAATATATTGTAAGTTAGGACGACTGATTTCTGCTTTCACCATGGATTTTTTTATAAACTGCAGTTGAACATTATCTGATTAACAGTAAAATAATGAAGCGTTTACAAAAGGCTTCATTGTGGTATTTGATCAAATAGATTTATATAAATGTTTTCAACTTTTCACATTGATAGATCAATACGTGCTTTTCAATGTCAACACTTTTGCTTTATGACATACCTCCAATTTACGTTGTACTCCTTAAAACTGTCGGCTGATCAACTTTTTCTAGATGTTCTGAAATAAACAACCAAAGTGGCACTATCCTATTGACATATCTTCATTCCAGGCAACAAAGGCTCCCTCTTTCACTTCCGTAACGGTCGTCCCTTAATTGTGTGATCATTATAGAGGTACTTGAGTTAATTGCTGTGCTTTCTTTCTCTAAATAAATATACTCTGTTCTACATGAAGGAACACAATAGCGTAGAGCGTCAGAAATAATTCTATTGTATTTGCATAACCAAAGTGTCTGGCTGTATTATAAGAGGAATAACAATACGTCCAAAGCGGTAAACAGGTCAGAGCTAATGGTGTTGAGTTATATTACCAAGGCATTGAATTCACGCAGTGTAATGAAGTAAGACACGGACATTTCTTATATTGCTATATTTTGCGTATTTCATAATTTGGCTGAAGTGACCTGTTCGTGAAATAAATGAATAAAATTAATAAAATTACGGATTTCGGATATATGACCGAAAAAAATGTAAGTTTTCATTTTTGTGAAGATGTCGGAAGAAACAGTTCCATTCAGACAGCAACTCGATGATATCTGCAATCATTTGGAGAATTGTAAAATAGAACGTGTGCGCAGACATTCAGAGTTTACCAAACGTTTTGAACAAATCGTCGCGAGACATGAAAGATTGACTTCCGGGCGACTCAGAAGACTTAATTTAGAAGGCATCTTCGTTGATTTTGATTCAATAAGAGGACAAAGACGTGAACATACTTTTAGTGCAAATGGAACAAATGACCTTTCCGCTTTGCCTTATCTTAGAAGATCTAAAACAGAATTTGATAAGGATACTGGTTGGTACGGTGGTGCTCCGAAACTTTATGATGATAATTTGCCTGAAATGAGAGAACGGCATCGTAACAGAAGTGTTGTACAAAAGACAAGTAGCGGCATAAGAGCAGGACATTACGAAGATCAATATAAACAGTTGCGTCTTGAAATTTCGTTTGACAGTAAAAATCCAAATAATCCTCATCTCATTAAGCCCACTCAATTATCATATCAGAAAGGCTGGAAAAATCGACGAAACAAATCGTCTTTTCTTAATTCTCATTCTGCCAATCGTGATCGGAATAAGTTCCAGAAAGCATATGCTAAAGTTATAAATGTACAAAGATTTACCACACATCGTCGGCATACCATTTTATCAATGGCACCGATAGAAATAGGAGAAAACCCTCCAAATTACAGAAATTCATCTCCAAATAATGGCATGCGGAATGGGAGTCCGGGATTTTTTCTTGGCAGTCAAATATCACCTGATACATCTGGAAAACAAAAATTCAGGAGAGCAGTAAAGAAACTAGAAAATGCCAATAAATTTTCAAACTTGTTACAATCTGCAAGAAATGACAGGAATAAATAGAAGAATTGATTAATTTTAGACTGCAACCTGCATGTGTATCTTTTTAGTAGCATTACAGTTTTGAATGAACAGCATTATATGTAGTAAATGCGATTACTCAAATAGAAGTCAAATATTTTTATTCGGATCACCATCCAGAAATGGCTGCATTAAAATATGCTGTTTTCATAACACGAGAAAATAATGCATCATAAAAATATTTGAAATAGATTCCAGTTAAAACTGTGCCTGTAAAACATCGCTGCAAGCATGATATTAACGTACCTTGCTATCTTAATGTCACAGTGACTATTAATCCTGTGGTCATCATGGTTGTTTGGTGCCTGTGCGTATTTCAGTGCTTTTGTTCTTCTTGATGTCAATTTTAATGAAATGTGTGATATGCGCAAGAACAGAAATCATACTTCACAAGGTCAGAGACAAAAATAAAATAGGAGTGCACTTTGCTTGTCCGTGCAGTAATGGCATAAGACGAGTTTTAAATTAACTTGGCACAATCAGTCAGTGAGACGATGTGTAACACTAAGAACCAGAGTAATATTTTTTTAAAAAGCGAGGGAAAAACGAGGACAAACGATTAAGTCTAGATTTTTTTTCTAGATGATAATTTCTGTTTTTGTTTTTAGTTTTATTTTTTTTTTTTTGGGGGGGGGGGGGAATTATAGTATTTTCGTCTAATGTTACCATGACAATTGCCTGAATTCACTTTGCGAGGATTCATCTCGTCATATAGGAACATATTGGAGCTTAGAGTGAAGTTTCGCTGGGTGTCCGTGATCGAGTAGTTAAGGTCGTTGACTTCAAACAGTTGCCCCTCATCGCTATGTGTTCGAATCACAACAGGGACTTCGGATTCTTTTATGTTAGGAAGCTTTCAAGCTAGTTTACGGAACGTCAGTTCTTCTACTCAGCTGCCTGTTCGTGCCTGGAATTAGGTGCGGAAGGGCCATTCAGGTCTTCTTTTACCAGTAAAGCTGGAAAGTCGCCTTTTGAACTATACTTTGTTGGTAAAACCCAACTAAAAAAACAAAGCGAGGTTTCGCTCGCCAATAACCGGTTTAAACTCCCAAGTAGTGTTTTACTACTGACCGTTAAAAGGCAGTACCTCTCTGTGTTCCTTTACATTTCTTGTTTGTATGGTGACACGTTCTTTGGTGTCTTATCTTGCATTTTGTCTCAGCGGTATTTCCTTTCCATTCCCCCTCGTTTTCCTTTCTATTCCTTGTCCCTTAAACTCCAGTATCAACCCTTTTGGATTTATATTTCATGATATTTTTCTTTTTAAATTGCTAATTTGATCATTGAAGGTACAAACGTAATCATTAATAACATGATTGAATTCTGGCAATAAATCTATTGCGCCTGTCGTCTATACAAATTTATCCAAACGCATTATTTTCTCGATAAAAGGCAATCTCCGGAGGGCATACAGATACCTAAAACGTTAGGAATAAAATAACTGTTTTAGATTTCAACTTTGTGATTCCTCCAGACTTATAAACAGTTGAGAAAATTCCGTTAAAAATAAATTTGTATGCACTGTGATTCACTCTACCATACATGACTGATTACATACAAAACACTAAACTTGATAATTAACAATTTAATTAAAAATCTCAAATTAACATGGTTACTTATCAAATAATACCATATCTAATTTATTAATGCTCAATCTTAC